TTAAAATATAATATTTTTGGTTTGTTTAAATGTTTACGGAAATATAATATGACCAGCGTGGCTATTTTTAAAGAGTTTTTATTTCGAAATTGTTTTATTTGTAAAATGAATTGTGTTTGGCAAAATACATGATGGAGACAACTTAAGTTGAATAGTCGGTTTATCGGCTTCAATAAAATCAAGACAGGCTTTGTAAAACAAATGATAATATTTGACGTTGCTAAGAAACCGATTTTGACGTTTTAATTAACATTCGTACATTGGTGTTGTTGTTAACAACTAAAAATGGCTCGTGGTAAAGCTGTTTCTAATGAAATAAGGAAAGTGATAATTCACTTGCATTTGAAGTGCCAAAATTCTTCCCAAATCGCTGACAGTGTTAATAAATCGAGATATACAGTTCGAAATCATATTAAACTGTACAAAACAACTGGATATGTGGCTCAAAAACCGAGAACTGGAAATTATCCGCAATATTCCAATGCCATCTTAAGAGCTTTAAAAAGGATTATCAAGCAAAATCGCCGTGCTAATTATAACAAATTAAGAATATTATGAAATCAGCAATTTGTCACATTGCTGCCAAAAACTGAGATTTAAAACTTACAAGATATGCTTGAATAATTTTTGCTTTTTGTTTGTTTTTAATTCAATATCTCATAGGCAAAAGAGAAGCCTTTACTGACAAAGATTCAGAAGAAAAATAACCTTCCCTTGGGCAAAGGAACATCAGTTATGGTCTCCGCACCAAAGAACTCCATTATTTGGAATGAAGAAGCCAGATTTAAAGTATGCATTATTGATTGTAGGAGTCGTGTCATAAGAACAAAAGAAGAAATGTTTCAGAATGACTATCTTAAAAAGAAAGTTAAGTTTCCGGCCTCTGTTATGATTTGGGGAGTCATGTCAGCTAAAGGAGTGGGAAACTTACACTTTGTGGAAGGTATTATGAATACTGATAAGTACATTAATGGGCTTCAAATTAACTTAAAACCCCAATTTGAAAAAATACGTTTAAATAATATGGAGTGTATCTTCCAGCAAGATGGTGCCGCTTGTCACATGACTAAAAAAAGTAAAAGATTGGATGTTAGAAAACAATATTCCACTTTTAAAATGAACGTCCAGTAGCCCAGATCTATCGCCTATTGAAACGTAGCATATCAGGAAAAAAAGCTCAGATCAAATCCCGCAAGAACCGTTCTAGAATTGCGAACCCATCTTCAAGAGATTTGGAACAGTTTTACAGCAGATGACTGCCAAACATTAAATGACACTATGTCAAGGCGTATCGAATCAGTAATCAGTCGAAAAAGCGATATAACGCAGAGGTAATTTGCTGTTATTTGGTTTCGTATTTTTTTTTAAAATACAGTTTATTGAATTTATCTGATTTTTTTCTGTTGCAAAAAAATTGTATTTTAGGCTAAAATTAAATAAACATTTCATATGTTATCAGAAATATTATAGTTTTTAATACGTTTTTCGTTAATATGGCAAATTTCTTTAAAAAACATGGTTAAGCCAACTTCACTGAGACAGGTCTCGTATATACATTTGAATTTATATATACTTATTCGATAATTCTTATTACCGGTTTTCCTCACCTTGTGCATCTTTAAAATACGAAAATAATTTTTGTGACAACCAATTTGTTCTAAAAAGCTGAAGATCATGTTTAATAATAACCGCACGCCTATGACTAGTCGATTTCCTATCCCCTCAGACCCACAAAGGTCTTAGTCCAATTAAATAACGAAAAAAAGCCCCTTCGAGCTTACATTAATTTGTAATTGGATGAAACAAAAAGGACCTTGTGTATTTTGATGTGATCTTTCCGAAAAAAAGAAAAAAAAGATGTAGCAGTTTTTCAATTTTTTTTAAATTAGGAAAAACCGGGTTTTCCGGAATTTTCCATTGTAAAAATGCTAATTATCTGGGCAAGTATCATTCCGATAGTGAAAATAAATGCACCATTCGAAAGAGGAGGCAAAAATAGTTTCTTAAATTCATTGCACAGGTAGTTTTAATGGCGAATTTCTCGCCGCCAGGATAGCTATTCACTAAGTCATGGGAGCGCTCCCATGGGAGTGCTCCCATATATTTTGCTCTCTTACTCTTAGGTGGGTATATCGTGCTTATTCACTTTTAGCCCAGGTACATGCGTAGTAAGGTCAGATTTTATACTATGGGAGGGAGAATTGCGGGCTTGCCAGATTAGGTCCGTATTTATCACAAAGCAAATTTGAATTACTGAGGGCTGATTCCACCGTTAAGTTAAACGGAGATTAAAATGACATTGTTAGTGTAAAAATGTCATTTTAAACTTTGTTTAACACAACGGTGGATCGGTCCTTAAATAGTAGATCAAAGTTATTCTGTCGACTTGGCAACGTTGGCATGGGAGCATGGGAGTGCTCCCATGAGTTAGAGAATAGGTATCCAGAAGTGCTTTTACCAAAAAGTCGTTTTTTCGTTTTTTTGATCAGAACCATGGACATGAAATTTGCGATGAATTTGTGGCGAAATTATAAATGTTAGACATATGTGCCCATGAGAGAAGTTGCGTATTTTTTTGTTGGCTCTCAAATAAAATAAGTCCCGCGGCGAAATCTGACATAATTTTTCGGGAATTCGCAGGAAACCAGAGGCGTAGTTTTTTTAAATTTTTTTCCCATGTGATTTTTTCCGGGTTTTCCGAAAACATTAACAAAATAAATATATTTGAAAAAACTAACTTCGCCATCGAAAAGAGCACAAAAAAATACACAAAAAGGTATACTTTAAAAATGTTAGGAAATTAATCCTAAGCCTGAGTGTAAGTTCCAACTTGGTGATAAGCTTGCTTTTTGTTCACTAATATCTGGTAATTCTATATTTTGCACAAAACTCAAGAAACGTCTTATAACAAGTCAGTAAAATACAATTTAATAAATTTTAAACCTAATAAATTTAGATATGCAAGAAATTTAAAACTGGAAATCGCAAAAAAATCAAATTACAGTAATGTAGTGTATACACGAGTTTTGGATCCCGCGGAGCGCGTGTAATGAGACTTTTGTCGGGAGAATTCTACAACTTAGAAGAAACATACACACTTTAAACTTTGTATACACATTTAGAAGACATGAAATTTGGGTTTGTTTGATTTTCAGACAAAAAAACTAAAAATTGTCAATTTTAGGCAACTTTTCTCAAAAACCGTGTTTTTTGGTCGTCACTCAATGAACAGTGGTCAAAAAAATAGATAAAATATATTTGCAGAATTTTCCGTAATGTAATCGTATTCTAGTCACAATAGAGTACTCAAAAAAAAGTTTTGAGCCATTGGGTGCATTTTTGGCATTTTTGTGCCACTTCAAACTTTCGAAAAAAAAATTATTTGTTTGATATCTTAGCCAATTATGGTCCGATGTCGGTGAAATTCACACACACATAAGATTTCACATTTAAGAGTAAGCTTTGTAAGTGGCATTAAAAAAATTCAAATAGTTTGGCCGTTATAGGCAAACAATGAAATTAGGACCGCGGTGCATTTTGCCCTTCCGCCATATGCCCAATTTTGGGATTTCTCTTGCCCCCTTCTGGGAATCACTAGTCACATCCCTTAAGTTCAAAACGCATTTTTGTTTTTTCAAATATCTTAATTTTTACCAATGTTATAACGAATTTAGTGTTTGAACATTTAACAAATTCAATTTTTCGACCTTCGTCGCCTCAAAATGCTAAACAAATTTCAATCGTCCATACCGCGAGAACGGTGCATCGGATCAAAATTTCTCAAGAGACATAAAAATTAGCATTTTTCCTAAGCTTTCAAATGTCGTAAACTGCGTTTTAAAAATATTGATTTATTTCCGACATGCGCCTGCGCAAAATTGACAAAATCCAAAATTTCGGCACTTTCGAAAAACTGCTACATTTTGTTTTGCCTTTTTTCGAAAAGATCACCTCAAAATACATAGAATCCATTTTGTTTCATCTAATTACAATTTAATGTAAGCTCAAAACCCGTAATTTAATTTGATTATCTATGTTAAAAATGTTAGTCACTCTCTACAATTATGGTATTTGACTGTAGAGAAGGACTTATTTTCTTGCAATTAAAATAAAAAAAAACTTTAACTACAAAACTCTTCTTAAATTACAAGATTTTTCGTTTAGTGACACTAACAAAGTGACACTGACAAAATGTATCTTTTTCTATTTTACAAGTTATAAATAGTATCTATGTATTTTATTAGATTTATAATGTATTAGTTTTACTGATATTATTAAGTACACTTTCAAATCAAAAACTTGCTGACATTAATTCATAATTATGGATATTAACTTGTGTTACCAGAAATTAGATATCAAATCCCAATTACGCTTTTCACAAATGTAGGAAAAGTCACATTCACAATATAATTTTTATTATTTCTTCATTATTATAGGGTAAGGCAGAACTCAGATAGGTCGTTCACGTCGACCGTCCGCGATCGTCCAAAATTTCAAACATGCGTAAGCTTATGGCAAACCTCACACTAAGCCGATCGAGTGCCACCGTCATCAACCGTTTCACTTTTTGAGTTTGTTTGAAATTTGGTTGATCGCTCGATGGTGGACGATCAAAAGTTAGGTTATAAATACGTTAAAAAATAGATATATGCTAAAAATGACCCAAGGTTAATATTTATATTATTATGATCTATTTTGAATAACTGTATATAATATATATCAGAAAAATCATATTTTTTTTTTAATTCTATTGAATTAATATTAATTAGCAAATATTTAATTGAAGTATCAACTGTTAATTTCCACTAAAAGCAATAATTAAAATTTTAAAATAGAGAACCATTTTTGTTTTGGTCGGATCAAATCGATCGACGCTGTGTGAATTCACTCTTTTAAAACGGTCGAGGAGTCATGTGATTGTCCTTGGTTGATCGTGCTTGATCGTGAACGACCTATTCTGTCTGAGTTCTGCCTAATAATATATGTTTCTCTATTTTCAGGACCGACTTTCCCCACCAAAATGTCACTAGCGATGTATGGTGGTATTACATGATATCTATGACTTTTTATTGGTCGTTATCCATAAGCCAATTCTTCGATGTTAAACGTAAAGACTTTTGGCAGATGTTTATCCATCATATAGCTACTATAGTGTTGATGTGTCTATCATGGATCGTAAACGTGTTTCGAGTCGGTACTCTCGTCCTGTTGGTGCACGATTGCGCCGACATTTTCCTGGAGGTAATTACAAATAGTTGTTTATGCTCAATCGTTAAAGAGCGATACAGACAATCCACTCGAGTTGTAGGTATATTTTTTTCTACGGCCCACTAACGACAATCTAAAATTGATATAAAATTATATTCGTTCAGTAGAACGCATAGAATAGATAATATCTATGTGGGCGTAGAAAAATTATTTTACCAGTATTAAATTATAAATTTTATTTTTGCAGGCTGCTAAGATGGCGAAGTATTCTGGTTATCAGAAAATTTGTGATGCTATTTTCGCATTATTTACGGTTCTGTGGATCGTAACTAGATTAGGAATCTACCCATTCTGGATTATCAGAAAGTAAGTTAATATTTATTAGGTATTCAAATGATAACCCCGTGACATTAGTATTTTTTTAAATATCTTGTTATTCAACTAAATTTAAATAATAAGGTGGTAAATCAATTTTATTTTTATTGCTTTCATATTTTTTTATTTCAAAAATTCTGTTTTTTTAATTAATTCCTGATTGGTAATTTTTAAAGTTAAACTTTTTATTTTGATTCATACCCAATTAATCATTTTTAAACTTTAAATGTCATGTTTCTAGTTTGATATGTGGCAACGTTGCCGATTAATTGTTGACAGTTGAAATGTCCAGAGGCTTGAATGTGGGAAAATTGTTTTTTCAGGTAATATGGGTGTTGTAAAAAAATACTTTTGTGTAGATTACAACTTTCACAAGAGTGTCCAAAAAATCCTTCTTCCTTTTTATTCACTGAGAGAAAAGTTATTTTTCAAGTGCAATACTTGGAACAGATCAAATTTCATGAAAAAACCTTAGAACGTTGCCACAAATCGAAGTAGAAACAAAACATTTTTCAGTTTAAATGCCTGATTTGATTTTTTTAATTTTTAACTACCTATTATATTGCTGGCCACAGTTAAAAAGTATCGATTGTAAAAAAGAATCGATTGTAGAAAAAATCGATTATAAATTGTAAAATAATAATGAATGAATCGATTGTAAAAATAAAATATTTCACAAAAAAAGAAACGATTATATTAACAAGAATCGATTTGAAACAAAATGATTTTCTTAATAATGTTGATTTATTGACATGTACATATTTTCAAGTTATTGTCTTTACCCCAAAGGACGATATTTAGAAAATTATATATTTATAAACATAAGGGATGTATCATCCCTAATAAAAAGGTCTAAACTGGTTTTTAATGGTTTAATTCACGATCAAGTATTCTCAATTACAATGTTGCTGTGGTATTGCCACTGTCTATTCGCGTACTGCCACAATATATCCCCTATAGTAGTGCATCTCACTTGTTAAAGAGTTGGCACTAAGTTTGCAGCGCAAGAATGCGTCTGTGTCTGGCCGCTCAACTAACTCGATATGGCGGTAAATTCAAATATAATTTAAAGGCGAAATTTAAATTTCCCGCCAGAATTGTAAATTTTCAGCCGCGGAATGGCGGGAATTTTTAAATATATTCATTCGGCAATAATTATTGAGAAGTATATTGCATGTTCGATTAAACGAGCTGTAAATCCAGACGCTATTTTTATTTTGATAGCTAAAAATAATACTAATTCTTTTATTATTAGCTATTACAATAAGAGCAGCATTTGGATTAACAACACATTTAAAAGAACATGTAATATACTTTTCAATTTTACCTAAATCACTTATTTTTTACCTATAGAGGTTAGATCTGAAAAAAAAATGGCTCTGGTAAAAAAACAAAAAATTGTATAAAGTATTTTATTTGAAAAATTATAAAACTTATTTAATATATTTTAAAGACGAAGATAACTCTAGCCATATCCATTTTACTGAAAAAAAAAAAGAAACTATTAAATGAAATCATTTAGTTATTAAGAGATGTTTGTGATAATACAGTGGCAGCTATCGAATGTTGTACAATACGTTTTGCTAATGTCCAAGTAAAAACTACAAAGAGTTAGCATTAGTGGGAGAAGGAATAGAATACTATGAACGTAGCCAGCCGGCTACGTGGGGATGCATCACACCGTGTGCCTGTTCATATTACACAGCACACAAGGCAACATTCATATTATTCGTTTCCTGATCGAACTAATGCGCTAACTCTTTAGTTTTCTTTTCGATTCTAGCCAAGCGTATTGGAAAGTGTTCATTAGCCGATACTGTATATAAATGCTAAAATCAATAAGTGAAATAAAAAAATTTAGTTTAAATGGACATCTACTTCGAAAAAAGTTAATTATTATACTTGAATTTTAAAGGCTGTTGCCACTGGAAAACTATTATCTAGGGCTTGGATGACAGCCATAGGACTCCCTCCTTGAATCGTGTCCATAGGAAAGCATAAGATCATAGTTAAATTATAATATTAAGAGGGTAGGTATTAACTGAAAAAATATGAAAAATTATTACAAACTTACCTCAAAATTGGCACCTACATTAAAAGAAGGGAAAATGGAAACATAAAATTGTTATACTTGAATTTTAAAGGCTTTTCCCACTGGAAAAGTATTATCTAGGGAGCAGACCCTTAGATGACAGCCATAGATAGCAATCCCTCCTTGATTCCTCTTTTTCTGAGTTTGTTGTACGTTTTGTTTCCCATATTAAATAAGAAAGCACTTAATACAACAACACAAATCACAATAAATATCGCTGAAACAAAATTAATATTAAATTTCGTAGAAGAAAAAATCAAAAAATTATCACTTGTCAACACTGACACTTCACGCTTCACTTATAAAAACTCAACGCTAAAGAATGGAAGATGATTCGAAATAGGAATTATTAACTGGTATCTCTTTCTTTTATAAGTATCTAAACAAAGAGAAGGAGTGGGAGTGAGAAACGCTCCGATCAGATTGTTTTGAATTCGTCGTCAACCAATGAACGTGCCGATGTCAAAAATCAATAACGATACTAGCGCCATGAGACCTGTGTCTGGCCGCAGCGAAACTCAAAGCCATTTCTTGAATCCCAGTAACATTACTATAGGGGATATATTGTGCGTACTGCCCACTGCGCTGGCCTGCCTTCTCCCGCTCGTCCATCCTGACACGCATGTGTATGGACTTCAAGAATGGATGGTGGGGAGTATAGAGAAATACCGCTAACATATTTTACAACCACTAAAACACATAATAAATTTAATCTTTGAAAAAAGTATTGTCCCATCGCAATTTAAATCCTCTCTTGTTACACCTATTTACAAAGCAGGTGACAAAACGAAAATCTGTAATTACAGGCCAATTAGTGTAATTAGTAATTTTGGAAAATTTTTTGAAAAATGCTTAAAATATCGCTTGGTAACATTTTTGGACCACAATAATATATTGCATAAACACCAATTCGGGTTTCGGGCTGGTAAAGCAACATCTGATGCAATGTGTACTGTTATTAGAGAAATAACAAACAATTTAGATGATAATAAAAAATGTATTGCAGTATTCTTAGATCTTGCAAAGGCGTTTGACACTATATCAAGAAAACTTCTTAACGTTCTTGAACATTATGGAGTTCGAGGTGCAGTGTTAGACGTCTTTAAAAGTTACTTGTCAAATCGTGAGCAGCGCGTTAAATAAATGAAGATATAAGTGAAGCTGATACTGTTAAAATTGGAGTTCCCCAAGGTACTGTCTTGGGCCCTGTTTTATTTTTAGTTTATATTAACTCGTTGTTCTCTTTAACGACAGGTTCAACCACTGTGTCATATGCTGATGACACAGTTGTATTATTTTGTGGGAAAACATGGGTAGAGACCAAATTGTCGGTTGAGGAAGGACTGGAAAAGATTATAAATTGGTTAAATTTGTATCAACTATCACTAAATATAAATAAAACTCGCTATATTGCTTTTAGTCTTACAGATGCAAATAGACCTTGCTTTACTAATATCAAAATTAAAGGTATGAATGAGGCAATCAAAGAAACAAATGAGATCAAGTACTTGGGAATAATCATTGACCAACATTTAAAATGGAGTAACCATATTGATTACCTGACAAAGAAAGTAAGGAAACTCATTTATAAATTCTATCAATTACGAGAAATTTTGTCAAAAACATTGCTATTGTTAATTTACAAATCTCTTGCTGAATCATTATTTCGTTACGGTATTCTAGTATGGGGTGGATTGTATAAGAACTCTTTACAAAAGCTGAATGTTACACAAAATTATATTTTAAAAATTATTTATAGCCGAAATAAACGCTATCACACTAACTTGCTGTATACAGAAGATATTTGTAATATTAGATCGCTTTACTTTCACAGCCTTTGTATATATGCTTTTAACAACAAGTCTAAACAAAATTACGTAACTTCTATGTATAGTACGCGAAGTATCTCCAATAAGCTACTATATTTTCCTAAATTTAATAGAAATGTTTGTCATAGATTCTTGGTATATACATTGCCAAAAACATATAACCTTTTACCACATAGTATAAGGAATGTTACAAACATAAAAACTTTTTCTAAACTAAGTAAAACATTTATTTTTTTACATTATTATGAGTTTATAAAAATACTAGAGTAGGGTAGGTATAAACATGTAATCACATCATTATTTTCTTCTAAGATGAACGCAATATTATTACAATTATATTATATTAAAATGAAATTATTAAACATATATTAACCAGCGCAATACAAGTGTTCTCTCACTTAGGCGCTTCCTGTTTTATATTCCAGAAATTACATTATTAATAAACTTGTAAACTTGTATGAACTTGTATAAATAAATAAAATAAATAAATATTTATGATATTCAACATCACCCTGTAGAATGGAATATGGGTTGTTTACAGGAAAATATTTTTTACCTTTTCCTAATAATTAGACTTTATTCTAAAACACCCTGTATATTTTATTTTCATTAGAAAATTCCCCATTGAAGGAAGTTGCAAGTAAAAGATTATTTTTTTATATAACTTCATGTTCCTTTTCTCTATATTTAAATAAATATTACCTTTCACGTTTACATTTGAAAGTAATTGGCTAATTTATTTGTTTATTTTGTATATTTGTTTTTTTTTAATATGAATAATTATTATTATTATTATTTAAATTGAGATAATGAGAAACAATTTATTTTGATATTTATTTACGTTTATTTATCAAGTTATCTTTCCAAGCTTAATAATTATAAGTTAAACTACTAAGAGATAAAGAATGTACTTTATACCTATCTATTCGAAAAACTATGTCTTTGATAATGTTTATTATTCAAAAATAATTTAAATACCTGTCTTTGGTATTCTAGAATCGTTTATGTGGAACTAGTAAAAATATTTTTGTTGAGATTATATTCTTAATAAATTTTACAAAAACCGGAAA